GTAAGCCCACTGTGCCTGTGCAGAGGCTTCACAGTTCGTTCTCCCCAAGTCTTTGCCACCTCCCTGTTTCACTAGGGCTCCCAGTAATATGTTAAACAGAAGCAAAGTGCCTCACTCCAGATCTTACACAGATTTCAGCTTTTTCCCATTCAATATGTTAGCTGTTGGCTTGTTATATATAGCCTTCATTATGTTAATATACACTGCTTTTTCTTTCCCCCTTGTAGCACTGGGGATCAAACCCAGGAGCATTCTACCACTGAGTACCACTCTATCCCTTTTCATATTGAGACAAGGTCTAAGGCCCAGGCTGGCCTCAAACTGGGATTACAGGTGTGCACTGCTACGACCAGCAGTATGTACGTTAAACCTAATTTTTTTTTTCCTCATAAAGGGATGTTTGTTTTCTCTCTCTACTAAGACGACGATATATTTTTGGTTTTGGTTTTAGTTTGGCTTTTTTTTTATACCGGAGATCAAATTCAGGTCCTTGTGCTTGCAAGGCAGGCGGCGGCACCACTGAGCTAAATCCCCGGCCCAACCATATAATTCTTACTCTTCATCCTACTGACATGACGCATCACACTCAACTTGCATATGTTGAGCCATCATCACACCACTAGGATGGATCTCATTTGATTGTCACAAATAATCTTAATTGTTCTTCAATTTCTAGAATTTTTAAGATTTTTGCATATGTGTTGATTGAGGATATTGGCTGACAGATTTGTTTTTTGTTGTGTCCTAGTCTGGTTTTCATATGAAGGTAATGCTTGCTTCCAAGAATGAGTCTGGAAGAATTCTCTCTTCATTGTTTTGGAGTACAGAAATGTAAGATGCATTGGTATTTTAAAAAAAAGATGCATTGGTATTAGGTAGTAGTTCTTTGAATATTTGGTAAAATTAGGCAATTAAGCCATCTGGTCCTGGACATTTCTTTGATGGGAGATTTCATTACTGAGTCAAGTCTATAATTTATACATAATAGATGTATATATAGGTTTTTTCCCTTTTAAGAAAAAAAATTCAAGCGTGTGCCCTGTGAATTTCAGAGTTCTTTGAAAACAATGTCCTCTTCAGCTCTCTGCATATAGCCACATTTCTGAACAGAATTTTTTGGGGGAGTGAGTACCAGGGATTGAACTCAGGACCTTGCGCTTGCAAGGTGGCAGCACCACTGAGCTAAACCCCCAGGCCCTCTGAACAGAGCTTTTTAGATACCTTGCTACCCTGTGGCCACAAAGTGACTATGTGGGATAGAAAAAAACAAAGAGAACTGTGGGAAACATTGTGCTATACTGTAATAGGTGCAAGATATTGTTTGCCGAGTAATGAGTAAATTTACTTAGCTTTCAAGAAGTAAAAATGAATATCATATCTTATTCATGTGAAATGCCACAGAATCAATCACATGGAATTAGGAATGAATGAACCTAATTTTCTTTCCAAAGGCATTAGTTCCAGGTAGCAAAATCTTGGCCATTTCCTACAGTACGAGTAAAAATTTTAAACTTGGAATCAGTACTCTCCTGCTGACTGCTTTAAGAGTTTTTGTTCCAAACGACAGCTTTCCTAAGAATTTAAATTATTTCTCTCATCCTGTCTGTCCTTAAAGTATTACAAAGAAATGACAGGGTGTAGCTCTGTGGCAGTCTGTGCTTAGTATGGGGAAGCCCTAGGTTTGATCCCCAGCACCACACACACAGACACACACACACATGCACACAGACTGAAAAATATGGTTTCATATTTTAAATTATTCTTATGCAATCAAAAGTCATCTGAGAATAGTAATTATGGAAAATGAGCTGTGTCTGCTTTCCAACAATACAGGGAAACATAATATAGTGGTTATCAAACTTCATTCTTTCCATAATTCTGTGTGCAAACCAAACTGGTTGCAAACTGAATCAAATTTCCCCATAAAGTCAACATTGAACCTCACCATTGAATCTCATTTGGTTTGCAACCAGAATCGAAGAAAGAATTAAGTTCGTGAACTGAAGTACCACTGTAAAGGACTTTTATCGTAGACAGTTGTGGGAATCACCCTTTTCCCTCACCAGCATCTAATTTTGGGAACTACTAGGTTTCAATCTCTGCTGAATATTAATAATCACAAGGGTTTATAGCATCACAAGAGAAAATGTGAAGGTACATTATAACTCACTGAGTGGTGATTTTTTTTTTTAAGCCCTTGGAATAAAGTCGGCAAAGAGATCTGGTATTTGCTAACACCTTGACAATGTCTCACTTATCTCTTTCTTCTGATGACATTTCAGAATGGGACACAGTAAGTCATATGAGCACTGAATACCCTAATGAGGTTTTAGTGAGAATGATTCTCTCATATTTTTTGCGGTTCTGTTGGTAATGAATTATGCCTAAGCACAAACAAACTGAACCCCAACAGGCAAGGATCCTGTCTGGTGCCAGGCAGTGGTATCACAAACCATCAGTGAGAGCTTAAGGAGGTACAGCAAAACATGAAAATTCTTACAATCAACTTTTTCATTTTATGTATGTATTTATTTCCGGGGATCCAACTCTGGTCCTTGTGCTTGTGAGAGAGGTGCCAGAACCACTGAGTTAAATCCCCAGCCCCTCAACTTTCTCATTTTAGACAATTGATTTGACTGAGACTGCACAGCACTGAGCTAAGATTATAATGAAGGTCTGCCATTCTTCGCACATCTTTCCCCCTGTATAAAGCTTTTTTTTTTTTTACTATATTTTAAAACAAAATAACTTAAAACTGATAATTTTGCTCCAATACAAACTCCAAATGCTAAGAAAAACCCTGAAATAAGAATACAACATGAATAGAATAACAAATTATCAATTCCACACAAGAACTGTCTGTATCAAGTGAGAGGGTCATAGGGATTCACAGCCTTGTGGCAGATGTTTTTAAATAGCAGCTTTATTGAGATGATTCACATACCATAAAAGCTGCCCTTTGGGGTACTCAGTATATTCAAAGTTGTACAACTATCACCACTATACAATTTCAAAATGTTCTCATAATGACTCAAAAAACCTCACACCCAGGAACAATTTCCATCACAGAAAGCACTGTTATGACATATCCATATGTACTCCCAAAGCCTCATACCCTCACTGATGGGACTTTTGGGAGTGACTGGATGAAGGGTGATACTGGATCAGTCTATTGATCGGTTTAGCAGAGTTCTAGGTGTGATCTACTGAAGACAGAAGATGCACCTTGGGTGTGAGAAGCACCAAAGGGCTTGTAGACTGGATGGAGAAAAATGGAAAGCAGAAAGGCTGCTACTTCCTGCTGCCCCACCATGGACTGTTTCTCTGCTGCCACGCCACCCTGCCTTGGAGCCAGCCTACTACAGACTGAAACCTCTACAAACTGTGAGCCAAAATAAATCTGTTCTGTAACTTTTAGGTGTCAGATATTTTGTCCCAGCAATGAGAGAGTAACTACAACACTAATCTTTCTATTTCTATGAATTTTCCTATTCTGGACATTTCACATAAATGAAACGCTATAGTCATTTGTGAGTGACTTCTTCCCGTGTGTCAAAATTAACCCATGTTGCATCAGAACTTCATTCCTTCCTAAGGTTGAATAACATTCCACTGTACGCCTAAACCATGATTTGCTTATTTATTACCTGAAAGACATTTGGTTTGCTTTTTTCATTGTTGTTGCTGTTGACCTCAGGGCCTTCACAATGAGCCACATCATTCCCAGCCCTTCCTTGAGAAAGGGTCTTGCTAAATCACCAAGTTGCCCAGGCTGAACTGGAACTCATGACCCTGTGCCTCAGCCCCACAGTCCTGGATTACAGGCCTGCATCACTGCTGGTTTTTACCTTTTGTCTATTATGAATAATTGTACCAGGAACATTCACGGACAATGCAGACGTACATTTTTTGTGTGAACATATGCTTTTTATCCTCTTGCATATATACTTTGCGGTAGAATTGCTGAATTATGTGATAAGTCAATTTCAAGCTTTTTGAGAAGCTGCCAGACTGTCTTCTCAGACAGCTATGCCACATTACATTCCCACAAACAACATTCTGAAGGTTCCAGTTGCTTCGTATCCTTGCCAACCCTTATTGTCCTTAACCCTACTGTGTTACGGTAGTTTTTGTAACAAAGTGAAGCTGAAAGGAGTGCCTTGTGAGTTTCACACTGACAGGATACCCTGAGCAAGGGTATTCTGTAAATAATACTGATAATACTGCCCTTTCCAACTGCTCAGGCACTTCCTTGAGTTAAGGGTAGTGCTTTCCAAAAGTCGTCCCTAGACCAGAGCACCCATACCATGGGAACCAGTCAGAAAAGTAAACTCCTAGTCTCCCCTGGAGACCTGCTAAACCAAAGACTATGGGCAGGACATGCCTCAGTGACCCGCTGCCAGTTCCACACTGCTCAGGCTCCCAGGAGGGCCAACATCCCCACTGGCAGCCTTGCCTTTGATCTCTAGCTTTGTGCCTCGTGAATGACGCCCAGTGTACAGCTTCCACCCCTCATATCCACAAGTAAGGACCACAGTGGCACAGGAAAAAACTATTTGAACAATTCAATCATGCAACTTAGGAGGAAAGCCTTGACACTTTCTAGAAAGTGTTCTAAAACTGTTCAAAATTAACTGTGGACACTGAAAACCCAACTGAATAGGAATATCAAAGCACCACCCAAGCCCAGTGAAATAATTTCTCTGCCATTTAAAACTGTCCTCTCAGCCAGGCACAGCAGCACATATAATCCCAGCATTTAGGAGGCCAAGGCAGGAGAACTGCGAGTTCACAGCCAGCCTGGATTACACAGTGAGGCTCTCTCAAAACACAAACACTCCTCAGAAGTACAAATAGCCAATAAACATATGAAAAAATGTTCAACATCACTGGCCACTGGATAAATGTAAATTAAAACAGTGAGAGTCCATCTTACTCTAGAAAGAATGAAAATAAAATAACAAATGCTGGTGAGGCTGTAGGGAAAAAGAACCCTTCTACACGACAGATGAATGGACAAAGAAAATGTGGCACTGTACACAGTGAAGTACTACTCTGCCATTAAGGGTAAACTTGAGTCTTCTGTAGGGAAGTCCATGTACTTTGACAGCATAATGCTAAGTGAAGAGAAACAGGCACAATAGCTTAGATATGTGGTTTCTCTTCTATGGAACACTCAAAGTATAAATAAATTAAAGAGCAGAATAAAAGATAATAGGAAATAGGGAGATATATCTTTTTGCAAATGGGAATGGAACCAAGAGAGGGAGGGAAGGAAGGCAGAGGAAAGGATTATAAAAAGATGTCTTATGGGGCTGTCTTATAGCTCAGTTTGCAAGCACAAGTTTCTGAGTTAGATCCCTGGTACCAAAAAAAGATGTCTTATGCGTAGGTCCCAATACCTCATGATGAGTGTAATAATTTTGTACTGCAAACATGTACTAAAAAGTTTTTAAACAAACAAAAACAACTTCTTCATATACATTTCTAAATAGCTTATTAGAAAATCAATTCTTAGGATAGGTAAAGACTCTTTACAGCTACATTTTCATTACTTCCTTCCAATAATGGATAAATTTACTGCTTCTTTGCATCTTTATCAGGAAGCAAAATGGCCTCAGAAAGGAAAAACCAGATTAAATATGCCTTGATCTGCTCCTGCTTTGCAACTGCCCCAGGCTGCACTCAAATGTGCAGGTAGACCCAGGGTACAAACCACGGCTGAGAGGAAAACAAAAGGAAACAGGAAGCCTGAGCAAAACCTCCCCGATCACAGCAAGACTGCTAGGACTTCATTTGGTCCTTCAATCCCATCCTGCAAGGACTGCACTGATTTTTACAGCATTTCTCTTGTCTGGGATGTCACAGTGTCTCCAAGTGAATTAAAAACCTTCTGGTAAGTGTCCAGAATATCTTGAGCAGTGGGTCTTTCTGCAGGAATCTGGTTCTTACAGGCTTTATGAATATCAAATAAATGGAATCGAACCATATCACTCCCTTCAGTGTGCCCCAGAAGAAAACTAGAAACATCTGGGATTTTCCAGATATCTATCTTCTCGTCATAGGAGGGCATGAGGTCATCGTGGAAAGGCGTGTGCTCCCCATAGGGCCACAACTGCTCTGGAGCCACAAAATCCCCGTGAAGCTCCCTATGGCCACACTTCACAAACATCCCAAAGCTGTGGTTCACTAAGGGCAAGGCATCCAAGTCGTTTGCCACGATGCTGAAGTTACTTGTCAGCAGGTACTGTGACAGTGTCTTGGGCAGGTCATTCGAGTCACACATGACGAGAGTGCCCAGGGGGCTGCGATGCAGGTAGTTAATGATGCCAACGTAATCCATGGCCAGCTGCAGCCTGTGCTGCCATGTGTTCACATGCCGGTACTTGGAAAGACTCAGTACTTCTTCCAGGTTGCTCAAGGAACCTAAGGGGTGATACTCGGTAAGAAGAGTGTGGTCCTCCTCGCAGTAGCCGAGCAATGTGACGACATGTTTGCTTTGTAGAGATTTCAGCATCTGTAGTCCGTGCAGAAAATCGTCTTTCATCCTCAGACTGGTGAGGCGTGAGAGAGCAACTTTGCGTTCTTTCCATTCTGACAGAAACACCTGAAACAAAGACCATCAAACCTAAACTCTTACCGGAAGTAAACCAAGGAAGAGCGAACCGTCTTCCCAGGGGCAAATGTGACGCAGAAGACAAAGGCTCAGTCCTAGCAATCACAGAGCCAGGCCTAGTCCGGCTCTAAAGACTTAGGAGCACACGCAGCAATCCGCAGGGCGACTGCCCACCGACGCAGCAGGCACAGAGGGAGGAACACTCCGGCAGCCCACGCCCAGAGGCAGGACCGGGAGTCCACAACAACCCGGGTGCCATAGCAAGTTCAAGGGCAGCCTGATGACACAGCAAGGCAAAAAATCCAAAACGAAACCAAAAGTTTCCGGGCAAAAGAGAGCAGAGAGGACTGGTTCTCATGTGGAGATGGAGAATGAGTTGGAAGCTCAGGGGAGCTGGTCCCAGAGCGAGTGGAACTTGCAGCCTAGACGTGGATTGTGGGGCATGCGGGCCCATGAGGGAGACTGCTTCCAAATGGAGGGTAAGGACTGGGAAACAAGTGAGAGGCCTGGCCCATCCCTATAACGCTGTGACTCATTCTCACGGACTCTAAATGCCAACGCGATGAATCACACACAGGATTGTTTCTATGCGAGGAAAACATTTTTACACGTTCCAGGTTCTGTGACACTGCTCTATGAACAAGACCTGAAATACTACATAAACACTGGGATTGTCCACAAGGCACACAGTGAGTAGGACAGAAACTGCACATTACTTCTTGGATTTATTTCTCTCTCTTGCTCATACGTACATATACTTTTTTTCACAGTACTTGGGACTGAACCCAGGGCCTTCACGTTGACCTATATCTCCAGACCATTTTTTAATTTTGAGACAGGGTCTCACTACATTGCTAAATTGCCCAGCCTGAGCTTGAACTTGCCACCTTCCTGCCTCAACTTTCTTGCTTTCTAGGACTACAAGTGTGTGCCAGCACACTCAGCTGAATTTCCACTTTTTTATTAGCTAAAACAGGTTTGCAGGGAGCACTGTAATTAAGGAAAGAACCTGTGATTGTTTGCTTAAAGAAAGCAGGTTCTGAAGTGAGAAATCCCTGTTTCTGCGGTGTCTTTGTTGTTACCCGTCCTCCCTCCTTCCCTTCCATCTTCCTTCGTTCTGCCCTGCTGTGCCCTGACCTTTCTCCTCTCACCCGGGGTTCCATGCTTGATAGGCAGGTGCTCTCCCACTGAGCGACATCCTTCCTTCATCCTTCCTTCCGAAGCCATTTTGCAAAGCAATTCTTTGGCATTAATCGAAAGAATTTAACATTTACTCTGAAAAAGATATAAAGCTCTAGGAATAAAAACCTGGCATTATTTATTAAAGCATAAATAAGAATCTAAAAAGACGATGAATAGTTAAATTTTGACAGGATTAACAATGGTATGTTATTTGCTCAGTATAATACA